GGGGGAGAGGGGGGGAGAATAACCGGGAAGGGTGGGGCTGGGGAGGGGGGAGGGGGGGCGGAGATGGGGGGGAAAAGGGGGGATTTCCTTCGGCCCTGACGTAATGTGACTGATTATCGTGCATTGTACGTCGTATTACCACACGATCACGTTGCATTCGCGTCGTACGTTGTGTACTGCTAAATCATTGCTTTGGCCCTGCCTTTGACCTGGCATGGAAACGTACGAAACACGAACCTTTTTGAGTGTTTGTGTGTATGTGTGTGTGTATGTAACGCTCGCAGGTTCTTGGGGCGCTGCCCATGATCTGCATCTTCTTTCCCTTGGACGCCGCCGCCGCGATCATGGACGGCTCGTTGCTGGCCGCAAAGCAGTCCAATTTCATGTCTGCCGTACAGATCGCAGGATCTGTTGTACAATATGTCGTACTGTCGTACCTTGCGGCGACGGGCAATGTCACCTCGTTGACCGTGTGGTCGGCACTCAAGGTAATGCAACTCAGGATCGCCGTGGTGGTGTGTGGGAGGGGGGTGACGTGAAGCAGCAGGAGGAGGATACGGAAGGCAGGCAGCAGGTGTACGGACCCCGTACTGACGTGTCCATGTGATGGAATGGGCAGTTGGGTTATGGGGGAGGTGATTATGTATCTTTCCCCCCCCCTTCTCCCCCGGGGGTTTTGGGGACCAGGGGCTGAACGTGTTGTGTTCCGTCTCCTCGGCAAGGCAGCCAGATAGACAGGCAGATACATAGAGAGATAGAAACGGGGGAAGCAACACTGTATGTACGTGCGTGTGTATGTCTGTTTTTGCCGTACACTTTCTATATTTCCGAAACCTTGTCTTCCTCCTCCATCCTTACGGCGCAGATTCTCAACGTGCTCCGAGTGGTGGGTGGTGTGTCTCGCAATTACTACTCGGCACGGAGCGGCTACACACCCGTCGTGACGGCGGCGCCACAGTTACTGCCGGCAGTAGCAGCGGTCGCAGCCACGGCGGCTGTGGAGCCTCGAGTGGAGCAGATCACTACAATAGCGCCGCCGGGATCGACGGCGACGGCGGCGGCGGCTGCACCGCCGCCGCTGCTGGTACAAGTAGGAGCTGGCGCTCGGCTGGCGGTGGCGGCGACTTCGCCGCCGTCGCCGGAGGCGGCGGCGGCGCTGCAGTCGTACGAGGACGACGTCATGGTGCTCGCATGTGCCGCCTGCACCTCCGCCACCGAAATGAACCCCGATATGCTCGGTTTAAAGCGGCGGAATGTCACCGCCGCCGCTGCAGCCGCCGCCACCAGCGACGGTGGTACGGCCGGTGCTGATGGGGATGCTAGCGCCCTACTCAATGGCGTCGACGGCGACGACGAGGGCAGTGGGAGTAGAAGCGGCGGCGGTGGCGGCGGGCGCTGGGAAGAAGCAGGTGCAGCGGCGGTACCGCTGCCGCCGCCGCCGCCGTCGGCGCCCGTCACGGTTGTCGCTTCGTCGGCGGCAGGGTGAGCTGAGCTGCTCGTCCCGGCGATACTCCTGCCGCTGAGTTGCGATGTGTGCTCTCGTTGCGAAGATACATAACATAACCTTAAACACTGATAAATAAATAACTAAATAACCAGGGGTTAGAATTTTTCTGTTAGGGTTTAATGTGTGTGTGTATGTATGTGTATGTGGTAGTATGTTGGTGCTGATTAAGACATATCCGGTGGTTGGGGTGGGGGGTATGCACTGACCTGTCTTTTGTTTTGGTCGCTTTCGCACTCTGCTGCGTTTTTTGTATTGTTTTTCGGTGACTCGCAAACCGGGAGTCCTCCTGCGTTCAAACTGAGCCGTACGTGTGTACGTGTGTATGTATGTACGTGTGTATGTGGTAAGAAAGCGTCGGGCGGTTGTCGAGAGGCTGTTGGGCGGGATGAAGATGCGGCCGCCTGGGCGTCACCGCGGGGTCGTTCTGGTGGTGGATGTTGCGCTGGATGGATGCTGTGCTGGCGAGTGCACGGGGGGAGTGGGGAGTGTCGACTTTTTATGTAGTAGAAGAAGTAGTAGTGGCTGTTGTTGTGATGTGTTGTCGTGGTGTGTTGTGGTGGTGGTGTGTTGTGGCTCTCAGCGGGTGAGAGTGTGTGATGATGGCGGAGGAGGATTGCATAGGGGTGGGGTGGGGCTGGCATTGAGGAATGTTGCTTGGCATGTTGAAAGTGGTGGCTGTGTGTGTGACTGTGTGGCTGTGTGTGTGTGACTGTGTGGCTGTGAGAGAGAGAGAGATTGGGATCGAGTTAAGAGGTGAGATACAACGTAGACCATTTATAGACACGACGTATGCCGTACAGTATTGTGCTGTACTGTATCAGCATCGTCTGCTGTTACGAAAAGGCCTTTTTGTCGTACAACGTGGTGACAATTCATGAGGATGGGGAAAATATTATTACGGTGGGGTCGATGGAACCTATTTTGGCAATGGGGGTACAGGGCACACCCAGGAGGGCCCGCGCACGCAAATCTCAACTATGACGGCGGAATGTTTCGCGAAAAATTCGTAAAGATAACCCGCATAATCGGGCCACGTGTTCACGCAAAATAAATCGGCGGCGGCTGGAGCTTGGGGTTACGGCTATGAGGCTATTTGCTTGGCGTGCAGGACTGAACGCATACCCGAGATATCAGGAGTGGAACCTGGATATTAATGTGAGAAGAACGGGATGCGATAAGAAGATTATACACCTTGCGGAAATGACTTGGTTTTGATTGCCAAATATTGTTTAGGTACAGGCTCAGGTGAATTTGCTCTTTGCTCAGGCTACGGAAGCACCACCGTTTTGATAGAGGCGGCGTTAACAGGAAGAGCGATACCTTCCTCATAGCATGGAGCTTAGTTGGTGCGCGGGTCGGTTAGAAATTAGAAGCCCAGAATGGCCACAGGACGGGTTTGTCAAGCGCTGGCAAAGCTGAAGCGGGATGGAGATGTGGATGTAGACAGAAGTCTTGATGTAACGTCGAAGACTCTTGGTGAGGATAAAAGCTGCCAGAGCAGTCGCAGCGTGGCCACACAGCATGCCCGGCAGCAGCCACACAGCATAACAAGGCCATGTGTAATTATCCACTGCTTGCCATTTGTGTATGTATGTCAGGATGCCGCATGCATAAATCGCCCGATTGTCTGACACGCAAGACGGCCGGGTGAAGACACAGGAAAATGTCGATCGAATCTGTAACATCGGACTTGCGTAGTACATGATGCACAATGATGTAATCATGTAGTGAATTTGTGCTTATCACTTGCCAGCTCTAACGTTGGGTATAGCATTTCGACACACCAAATCGTACGCCAGTCCGGGTGCCCTGTGTGTTCACGGACTGAATCCTGCCCAGTTGTTTTGTAAAAGTATTTGGTTTTTTACAGTGACCATAGGTAAAATCTGACGGGTTTGTTCGGGCCTTTCCTCCTGTAGTCGCCACAAGCCACGAGTTGACAAATGTTGGTTATTCGGCCATCGCACCTCTCTAAGCTCATTCACGCTAGGCACATTTCAGTCCTCCCCACAGTACTTACTCGTGGTACGTCGCGCGTACACCTGTGGCCTGTGGCCCTAGCTGACGTGCTAATTGTATTCTCCCAGTTGAATTGTTCTCCCTTTTTTGATGCAAGGTTTCATAACGGATATAAAATTTTCTTACGTCTGTGATATTACTACATCGTGTATGCCTGCCTGCACTCCATCCCTGTGAACTCCAATACAAAGCTCACAGGCTTTGCCTCCTTCCAGCAGGCGTGGTATCCGGGCAAAGCTCTTTCCTCTTGCCTGCTGCCCCAATCGAGCCGTTTGCAAAGTTTCATCAGCCTAGACAGCGTCTCTCCAAACACTTTACCCCACGTAGCGCCCAAATGGCAACCGCTGCTACCGACATTGAGGAGATTCCAGAGGTGAGATATTATGTTATTAACTGGGCTGCTGCTTTTCACACGCCATAGCCCCTAACTGCGCGCCGGCTTGCTTGATCTGCTCTTTAAGCTGGCCGCTCAACAAAGGAAGGTCCTCATGCCTAACTCAGCGCTTGCTGCTCTCTTCATGGCATCCTGACCTGGGTTTAACTCTGGGAGATCTTGCAAAATTTTAGAGAATGCCGGATAAGTCGGTTAGATGCCCCGGAACACGTGGCATACTCTAGAAGTCTTGCATCTTAATACTGACACCTCAATGCCCGTATCCTTGCTGCAAAGGCACCGATCCATGCTTCTTGCGGACTCTTTTGTGATCGTACCTGGCGTCTGCCAATGGCTGAAAACGAATATCAGGCTGATTGCAACCTTTGGTCCTCCTGCCTCCTTTCTCCTCTCTTCTCTCCTCCCCTCCACATGCCATATTCCGGACCACTCCATGTTCCAATTATCATTCAGCTTCTTCTTCTTCTTCCCTTCCATTCTCTCACATCTTATCTTTCCATCCTCGCCCCCTTCGTTCCCCAACCTCCCCCATTTCACCCCAAAACGCACACGCACACATATACATATACATACGCACTCACACACACACAGATCCAGCATGAGGAGCACAAGCTGGCGCCTCACCCCACAGGGCCCCAGCAGAAGTTCCGCAAGGACTACGCGCCTCCGCCTTACACCATTTCTACCGTACACTTGGATTTCATTTTGGGGGAGGAAAGCACCAAAGTTACTTCCAGACTGCACCTGCTGCCCAACTATGGGCAGCTGCAGGAGGGTGAGTGGTGCGGGATGAGGTGTCTCGATGAGGTAGGGGGAGCGGGGAGAGGGGAGAAGGCATTAGGCGGTGGTAGTGACTGGAGGAGGGGGTGGCGTGACACGGCGTGTGTGTGGGGGGGGGGAAGA